TACGTGCATAGGTCCTTGTGTTACAATGGGTTCATATCAATGACGAAAAGAAAAAAATCACAATTAAAATATGAGCAAAAGACCTAGTAGATACTTCACATTTTACAAAGATTTATTTATTTGTGCATACAGAACTGGGGTACAGGCCAGAGGCTCAGGGGCGGTGAGAGGCTTCACCAGAGACAGAGTGGGAGCAGAACAGGCAGATCGACAAAGTGCACTGCTGAGGGGAGCAGCAGACAAGACTGGAGAGTTGTCTGCGCCATGTGGGTCACCTCTGACCTCTGGGGCGGGGATTAAACTGACTGAAGTGGCTGAGACCAGCCTCTTCGGAGTGCAGGACTTTAGCCCCTTGCACCACTAGGGAGGGTCCTACTAGATACTCTTCTAAGGAGATGTTCAGGTGACCCATATAGGCACATGCAGAGGGTGCTCAGTAGCAGTTAATTCTGAGGGGTGTTCAAGATCTCCTGTGATTGTTTGGACTGAGCCACCGAGCAGTACGGAATAGCCTGGTTATGTTAAGGCCCTTAACCTCAGTTACAACGCAGAAGATCCGGCGGCTGTGTTCACAGGGGGCATGCCGTCGCTGGGGGGTCATTCTGCCTGGCATGCTGTCCCTGCTCTTTCTTGCCTTGCACTTCTTACGTGCATGTCCTTTGTCCGTCATAGTTCCTCACAGTATGGACTTTGCTGAGCGTACCCCCTGGCACAGCTTCACCATTACCCTGTTAATATACAGCCTGGAAGCTGCTACTGCCGATGTCTAGTCAGGCTCAGGTTGCCGCTGGGCGCCACTGCGGCTGGCGGGGGCTCTAATGAGCACCATGCAGCCTGGTCTCCAGGCCATATCAGAAGCCTGCGTGGTCAGGGCGATCTTACAAAAAATAAGTCTTTGGAAATGACGGTATTCTCCTAGGTGGGCTATTCCATCTTCATTTATTTCCCTTTAGCAACTATTGAATAGAAGTATAGTTCACAGAGAACGGGACAGATAAAACTTGAATCTGTCCCTTTATTTCTAGTCCTCAAAGTGAGTTGGCGATCAAAATGATGGGTTCGTTTTTTCTGGTATAATTACTGACTCATCGGTTTTGGGTGTGAACTTCTTCAACCCGATGCAGTCATTTTTGCTTAGAGATCCCTCCTGAGTGCAGGGAGCCTCTTCTGGTTGGCCTCTGGGTCTCTTAGATGAGGCTTCTGTGGTATCTGCATTCAGGACCAAGGATGATCCACTTCCTGCTGCATTGCCTGCCATGTGTCTAGCTTCGGCTAAATGCTTTTGAGACATTTCTTTGAGACAAAATGCTATTTAGAAGGCCACAATCTAGGGACGAGAGATAATGATTGCTACTGGTTTGTTCTTAGTTTTTAAAAGTCTTTTCAGTAGTTTGGGCCAGGCCATTTATTTTTAAACAAAATAAATCATGAGTTCACATGATACATCTAATTTAAATTCAAGACCATGACATTTTAACTTAGCTTGTTTATCTATATATCTCTTCCATCTAGCTGAAAGAATAAATGATTTCTTAATGATATCAGCATATTTTTTGTCTGCATTATTCACAAAATTCTCAGTAGAGCCTTAAAAATATATATTTTTAAGTATTTTTAAGTAGTCACCAACAGTGACTACTGTAAAACAGACAACAACTTTGTGACTTTTTTTTTTATTTGCTAGTATCTTCCATGGCCCTGTATCTGTGGTCCTCATTCCTCTTTGAAGCTTCGGAGGACTCTGCCATCACTCTTCCAGCAGGCCCCTGTCTGTGGGTAGATTGGTTATTTCCATTTTGTTATTTCAGACACTGCCTCAGTGTACAAATCTTCTCCTATTTTTGCCAGTGTCTCTTGGGTAGATTTAGAGGGAATACCACTGCAGCGTTGGTAGAGACCACTAAGTGCCCCCTCGGGTTGTGATGTCAGAGTCTCCTGTCGTCCCCCCAGCGAGTTATGAGGGTGTCTGTTCCCCACTTCCCCCAGCCACGCTCCCTCCCAGTCTGGCCAATAAATCCTTTCTGGAGGGTCACTCTAATAGTTAATAAATATCTTAATGTATATATCAAAGACTTTTTGGAGTAGTATTGAAAAATTGGTTTAAGGGTTGTTTGCCTATTTTTGTTTCTGAATTGTCTACATCTCTTGCCCATTTTAGTGTGAGATTATTGGGCATGTTCTTTCTTTTTGTGAGCTTATTATGTAGGAAATATTAACTCTTTTCATGCTTTCAGTTAATCCTCCTTACTCGATTTTCCTTGTTCTGGTGGCTTTTATGTTTTGCCATTTGGTGGGTTGTTTCTTTTTAAGTTTGTCAGTTAACCCTGCCATTGTTACATTGCATTTCCAGGCTCCTCTAGGTTATGGAGAAATTTGCTCCTGTTTTTGTTTTTTTTCAATCCTATAATCCATTTATTTTCATGTGTGATGAAAGGGAAAGATCCAGTACTTCTCCTGGGGCTGTGAGTATAGTCCAATGCCATGAATCAAAAGTCCTGTTTTCCCCAGTATTTTGAAGGTTCCCCGCTCCCTATAGGCCAGTGCCCACGTTCAAGTGACTGTTCCTTTCTGGCTCCTTCATTATTTGTCTGTTCTTTCTGACCTGCCTTTGACAAAAATGGAAAGTAGGAACCTGTGGGGCAGTGAAAGTGTTTAGATCTAAACCCACCCTGTGAGTAGTCTTCGGATTTAGCTGGGTTGGTTGGTTTGTTTCCTTTTTTAAAAAGATTTGTTTATTTATGCATACATAATTGGGGTACAGGCCAGAGGTGCAGGGTGGTAAGAGGATTCACCAGAGACAGAGTGGGGAGCAGAACAGGCAGATGGATGAAGTACACTGCTGAGGGGAGCAGCGGGCTGGTCAGGAGAGTTCTGCTGTACCATGTGGGTCACCTCCGGGACGGGGGTCAAACTCATGCTGAAGTGGCTTTAGCTTCTCCGTGCTGTGCTTCAACCAGCTGCACCACCAGGGAGGGCTGTGTTGTTTGTTTTTAAAAAAGAAAAATAAACTCACCCTTTTGCATGTAGACGGAAAGTGAGCCTAAGGAAAGAAATATCCATGCTAGTCAATTATCTAAACACAGCCTTTGAGGAGGAGCCTCCTGATGGAATCCATGTGTGGGGCTTAGGCTTTGGGCTCAGGGCTCTGCCCCTCCACAGCTGCTTTGTTTGGCCACGACCTTAATTCCGGGAGCCATGGGCGCCTCGCTTCTAGGATACAGGGCTCCACTGAGCACAGAGCACGCTGCCTGCAGTCACCCAGCACTGTGCTCGGAGTCTCCTCTCTACCTGCGCAAGGTATTTATCAAGTTTGCTATGATGTTTTCTTCAACTCTGTGAAAATAAGAACTAGTTTGAGTTTTAATGGCAAAACCAAGAAAGAGATGAGAAGTAAAGGCTCACCACATGCTCCTTGCCACTCCCTCCCCGCAAGGCTGCTTCCTAGGCTGCACTCAGAGGGGGAGGCAGGGCAGGGCCAGGGCACCAGGACCTCCGACTCCATGCAGTCTGCGTGGGCCGGGAGCAGGGGAGACCCGGGAGAACGGCTGAGACAGAGTGTGCCTTCTCTTTGCAGCACAGCCCTTTGTGACTCTCCAGGGTCAAGGGGAATGCTGGCTTATCACCGCTCACACCCAGAAATTTCCAGAAAATCTTCTCTTCTTCACCCTGGAAGCCCCTTCCTACCCTGAAGTTGAGAGGTCTTTCCCTAGAAAGGACAAGCGAATGTACCTAGTACAGTGTAGAGTGTGCTTTTTCATAAGGAAATGGAGAACATCTTTCTGGGCAAATGCTTCCCCTTTCAGGCGCCACATCTGGTTTTCTGTCATTGTGGACTATTTTGCTTTATTATCCTAACAGCTTTCACCTACTTAAGATTGTAATACAGTATACTTAATCAGTTTGTCATGAAAATATTTTAAAATTATTTTTTTTAAAGATTTATTTATTTGTGCATACAGAACTGGGGTACAGGCCAGAGGCTCAGGGGCGGCGAGAGGCTTCACCAGAGACAGAGCCAGAGTGGGGAGCAGAACAGGCAGATCAACGAAGTACACTGCTGAGGGGAGCAGCGGGCGGGTCCGGAGAGGTCTGCCACGCCATGTGGTCACCTCCGGGGCAGGCGGGAATCGAACTCATGGGGAAGTGGCTTTAGCTTCTCAGTGCTGTGCTTTAATCCACTGTGCCACCAGGGAGGGCCTAAAATTATTTTGTTACTGTTTTCATGAGCTAATCCCAACTCTCATTCATAATTTTATTCCTTTTTAAGTAAATTCACTGAAAGTAGTTCAAGCAATTCATCATTCAATGCTAAGAGTTGTTACTATGTGAAAAGGTGCTACATAAATATGATTTGGTGCATTTTTTAAAATACAATACTGATTAGATTATTTTCATGCCATTTTGAAAATGTTTTCAGGTGCATTTTTGTTTTCATCTTTGTAAGAGCAATGTGACACGACCATGTTGTTTTTTTTTTTTTTTTAAGATTTATTTATTTATGCATACAGAACTGGGGTACAGGCCAGAAGTGCAGGCCAGAGCGGGGAGCAGAACAGGCAGGTTGGTGAAGTACACTGCTGAGGGGAGCAGCGGGTAAGGTCTGCTGCGCCATGTGGTCACCTCCCAGGGCCAGGGACCGAGCTCACACTAATGCGGCTATAGTCAGCTTGCAGTGCTGCGCTTTAACCAGTTGTGCCACCAGGGAGGGCCTCAACGGCCACATTTCTGACAGGGTATAGTCAAGGAGACGGAGACTCAAAACAGTTAAATTTTAAGTGACCCAAGATCACGTGGCCAACTGGAGTTCTAGGCTAAATTTCAACTTTGCTTATTTCGTTAATATATCTGAATTGTCTCTGGTTTGCCCAAATGAGGTCAAAGTATTATAGAGTAACATTGTGGTCATGGGAAACCTCTGCCATCCAACTTGTTTAAAAGCATCTCAGCGGCTGCCCTGTCGCGGGCCTAGCGCAGCGCTGAGGCCTGCCCTTGTCTTCCAGGTGGCGCTGCATGCGTGCGGAGTGGCCACGGACATGGTGATCGAGCACTGCATCCAGACTCGTGCCGCCTTCGTGGCATGCCCTTGCTGCTATGGTTTCATCCAGAACACCTCCAAGTTTGACTTTCCAAAAAGGTGAAACATAGTATTCTACCTAAGGCGCCCATGTGGGATTATGTGAGACTTGTTTGATGCAAAGTTGCAAGGAGGCCCCGGTTTTGAGCTCATTCCCCCTTTCCAGGATGGCAGGTATTGGTGATAAGTTCTGTGAGGAAGCATGTCGGGCAGTGAGGCCCTCCCCTCCTCGTGTGCAACTGATCTCATGGACCTGCTCTGCTGCTTCCGGAAGCGAGCACGCCCAGGAGTTGGCCTTCGAGTCTGCCTGCTTAGCTCTCTGAGCGCAGTTAGAGCCGCATCTGGGGGGGTTTATGGTGAATGGGTTGTGCCTACTTTTCTACAAAATAGGAGTTGTAACTGTCACTACCTCAAGTCTGAATGGAATTAAATGACAGATGCAAAGCACTCGGAAAGGCCTAGAGCTGTCGCTCTTTACAGAGGCTGAAGTAGTGCTTAGAAGTTCTGCCCGGTGTTATCATCAGCCTGCAAGCTCAGGGCCATCCTCCCTCACAGAGGAGGGAGGCATGCCCCTTCCCTCCAACTCAGCCTTGGAGGGCCGCCCTCATGGCATTCATGCTATTTAGTCTGATTCATCACTACTGAGAATCAGACTTGTGTTTTAATGCTGGAATAGATGTGCTCTGTTAGTTTAGGGAAGTTTGCCCTGAAACTTTGCTGTAAGAAAAGACTTCTTTATCATTTACAGTATTACTTTTTTTTTTTTAAGATTTATGTATTTATGCATATGGAACCTGGGGTACAGGCCAAAGGTGCAGGGGCAGTGAGAGGATTCACCAGAGACAGAGTGGGGAGCAGAACAGGCAGATGGATGAAGTCTACTGCTGAGGGGAGCAGCGGGCGGGTCAGGAGAGGTCTGTTGCGCCCTGTGGGTCACCTCCGGGGTGGAGATCAAACGTGTACCAACGCCGCCATGGCTTGGCTTGGCTTAGCCTCACAGTGCAGAGTTCCAACCCACTGCACCACCAGGAAGGGCCCTACAGCATTACTTTTAAGAAACTTTAGAAGGTTTCTATTCACATTTATATTTCAAGGCTCCTAAATAAACAAAGGATAAATAATAACCTTTTTCTTTGTCTTTTACTGATGAATAATTCCTTTTTCTTTTCTATTTCAGTGAACAATTCAAGGAAATTTTATCATACAAGGTAACCTTAGAAAAACCTAGATGTCTTCCTAGTGGACTTTCTATCCTTTCTTTGTTTTTCAGTCCCAAGTTGCTAGTAGAGTAAATAATCTATAGTTATAGTTAAATTGCTCGTGAACAGCTGAGTTTTTTCCTTGACAAAGCAGAGTGAATCTTCAGCTAGCTGCTAAGATTTATGAAGAGACTAGGAATTTACCCTACATGGAAGGTAACAAGCTGGCCCCCCAGTTTAGTGGGTGCTGGTTCCACGGAGAAACATATGTAGTCCCATAGGCACTGGTAAGTTAGTAGGAGACTTTACCCACCCAGGACACCACTCTCTGTGTTACCACTGCAGCATGGCTCTTCATCACCCGATGCCATGCCTCCCTCCAGAGAGGAGAGGAGCTGAGCATGCATTCAATGTGGCCCGCCCGCCCCGCCTGAATTTCTCTGGTCTTGCTGACTAGGTTGAAAGTCTCATGTCCCCTGGAAATATTAGGTTTGTTGAGAAGCATTAGGGCCCTAGATACTTTGTTTTCTCTCACCAGATTTGGCCTAAAAGCAGAAAATGAATTGAAAAATGTGTTCATCTCTACTTAAGTAGTGCTAGGTGAAGCAGACTCTGATAATGTTATATGGGGAAATCTAGGAATGGGGCGGGGTTAGGGCAAAGCTTACCTGATTGAAAAAGAATGTAAATTTCTAGGAGTTAAAAGGGAGGGCACCCAGGCTCCTCAGGGAACTGAGTATCTCTCTCACGCCCCCAAAAGCTTCTTGGCTTTTTGAGGGCCTTGGGTAATTATTCCAAGTCTTAATCTCTTGTATAGTCCAGGTTGACATCACCAGGAGAGGGGGCTGGCAGGTGGAACTAAAGGGCTTTCGTGGCCAAGTATCTTGAGGTCCACTAAGGAGGTCTTCTCCCCACAAGTTCCCCTTGTCTGCCAGACCTTTATGGAGCACAGCGTGTGTGTCTCTCCTTTCAGAACTTCAGGTCTGCTGGGGAGAACACAAATAATTCCACTATTGGCCAAGTTAACAGGACAGGTACAGGCTGTGGTGGCCACCGCAGGCCCCAGCAGAGACAGCCTGTGCTCGCAAGCAGCAGGAGGGCCAGCTTCCTTGTCTGGTCCTGCTTTCCGGTCCTCTGCTGCTGTGGAGAAAACCCTCTTCAAAAGTCTTGTGCCACAGTGCTGAGGTTCAAATTGTTTTAAAAGATAACAGGAGTAATTTAGGATGTTTAATTTGATAGGTAAAATCACAAAATGTAACCATATTTTGAGCAAAAGCAAGTGGCCGAGTGGCTGTGGGTTGCACATGTCTGTCCTGAAAGCGGCGCCTGCAGAGGAGTGGGCTTCATGGAGGACGTCACACCCATTTTGGCATTTGTGCTCCTTTCAGAAATGCTCATGTGGAGCTTTTTCCAGTTAAACAGGGCCCCACACCAGAAAAATAAGGTCTTTTGTTTTTACGACTTTGAAGCAGCAGGTGAATGTAAGCTCTGTTGTTTTTCTTTCAGGAACACATGATTCTGTGCAGGTTTGCGGACCAGACAGCTGTCCAGCTTCCACCCCAGCGCAGACTCGTAGGTATGTGTGTCTGTCCAAGCCGCCTCAGAGTGCAAGGCCACTCTGTGTGGGAAAACGGGTCCATTTATTAGCAAGAAACTGAAGTTTTTTTCCCCAGAAACTTAAGCCATACTGAAAAGGACATTGTAACTATAGCAACATTTTATCCCATTTTTGTTAACATTGATACTTTTAAATATATTTTCAATGTTAGTACATTGAATGGAGTTATTATGTTCAATCTGTTTTTTATTCTGAATAGCAAACTAAAAGTTATATCAAAAGCCACAGAAGAAAACGTTGAAGATGGAAAAATCAACTCTGCCTACCAAAATTTATACATTAGCAAATTTATAAACAATAACAACAATCTTTCTTTGTTGGGGATAAAACTGTACTTATATTATTAGTCATACACCAATTTATTTGAGATTTGTAGTATTAAGCATCACCTAAATTGGTAGAACTACAGTAGAATTTAGAATTATTAAGTGATGAGTTTATCCAGGATTTCACTTTGTAAGGACTGGCGTCTGGAAGGATGATGGCACCTCAGACTTGCACACTTCAGCACTATGCTGAGCGCCTTCCAGCAGCCCTCAGTAGCATCTCCTGACCCCTGCTGGGTCACACACCGGGCACTGTACAGCTGAGTGAGTGGCCCCCGGCTTGCCCAGGCCCTTTGGCTGTGCATTGAGGAAGCCACACTGGGCCCCCAGAATTCCTTGGGTCTACACAGGAAGTTCTTCCCTGCTTTGCAGTCCTCATCCCGTGAGTGGCGTCACGTCCCTGGAAGGTTGGTCTTCAATTTAGGGTCTGTGACTATTAAGTCCACTCAAAACTAACCGTACAGATTGAGAGAAGTGCACCTTGAAGATCACCGTTTAATACCTGAAAGCAGTTTGCTGTTTCCCTGACTGGACATCAGATATAGTAACTGATTTGCATTCAGGGACCATGCGGTATGAGAAATAGTCAATCTTATTTTTACTCTGACATCAAAGTCAGCTTAGTAAGCTGAGCCTGCTTGGAGGGGCCTTTGACCAAATCTGAGGCTGAAGGGACCGCCCAGGACATAGACATAGAAGCTTGCTCTTGCCTGTATGCAGCTCCTCTGTCAACCCTCCCCCCGCCCCCCCGGCCTGCTCCACACCCAGTCCCTCAGGCTCAGAGGAGAGACTGGGTGGTGATCTGCGTGCACACGAGCGAGGTTCCAGCAATAGAAGGGAGTGGCTGGAGGGAGGAGGTGCGCCCTTGGCAGGGGTGCTGGCGTGGGGTCAGGGGCCAGCAAGATCTTGGACACTCAGTGTCCTCACCCGTGCTCTGTCAGGCTCTCCTTTGGTCCCCAAGCTCCGAAAGGTAGGAGCAGCAGCAACTGAGTGTAGGTTGTAAAGATACTTCTTCAACATGTGAAAACTTGAGATTCTTCTGTGTAATGGAAAAGGGGAAATTAACCCACCTGGGCGCCAAGCTAAGGGCAGACACGCTGCAGGGGACAGAAGGATGCAGGCCACTCTGACGTGCCCAGCAGAGTGCAGGCACAGGGGCACCCGCTCGGTCCTCAAGAGAGGCAGCTTTAGGGAAAGCTCATCAGCCACCGGGCTGTTGGGGAGGCCCAGCCAGGGGCCCTGGAGTTGAGACATCTCTCTACCACCTGCCACACTTCAGCTCTGGGGCTCAGGTCCGTTGAGGAAAACACGCAGATATCCCACGTCTGAACCCACCCTCGCCCGCTGTTTCTCCCCGACTGCCTCTCCCTCCTCTGCCTTTCTGGCTGGCCCTTCTCACCCGCAGGACACTCTTACTTCAGTATTGCATCACTTCTGGAGCTGCTGTGGTTGAGCAGTTTCTGCGGACATTCAAATCATTTAAAAATAATGTTTAGGCATCCTTGTCATTACTGAGGAAAACAGAATGAGGTTCTGCCTGGTTACAAACCTTTTTCAAGACCTTAGAAAGTTCACATCTTGAGTTTAAAGAAACTGAAAGTAGCTTTGAATATATATTCCAGCCCAAATCATTCCTTTCCCCTGAGCAACTTTTGAAAGAGAAGATGTGCTTGTCAAAGGAACTCAACTGCTTTGCTTGCCAGTCAGATTTCCGCTTTTGTTTTATAACAATTATGAAGGGAATTGAATATCATTATTTCACCAGGTACAAGAGCTCTGGAAATTAAAATATTGTCACACTCACATCACCCACCCTCAGATAATCAGCACATATTGGAGACTGTTCTAAAGTGTTTTTTCTTTTTCATTTCTTCAGGTGCAAAATAGAACATGTCTTTCAGGTAGCTTCTTATAGTCATCTAAGTGTAGCTATTTTTTTTTTTTAAGTTTTTTTTTTTTAACAGATTTACTTATGCGTACAGAACTGGGGTGTAGGACAGAGGTGCAGGGGCGGTGAGAGGATTCACCAGAGACAGAGTGGGAAGCAAAACAGGCTGACTGATGAAGTACACTGCTGAGGGGAGCAGCAGGTGGATCAGGAGAGGTCTGTGGCACCCTGTGGGTCAGCTCTGGGGCAGGGATCAGAGCTTCAGCTGCAAGCTTCAGCTGGCTTGCAGTGCAGCGCTTTAACGCCTTGTGCCACCAGGGAGGGCCAGTGTAGCTATTCTTAAAGACAGTTGCTGTTTTACCCCCACAATATCAGAATGTGATTTCACAGAGAATGCAGAGGAAAGGTGTTTAAATAGATTTTTCATGGAGGTAAGAAATGCATTTTTAGCCTTTGAGATTTATTTTAAAATGCATTTGAAAAGATGAGCATTCTTTAAGTTTTCAGCAGACAACAATCTGTATGCGTGACACGCTTGTAGTTGCCCTCTCCCGTGAGCAGTCCACTGCCTCACACTCGTATTGCCCCCGCGCGCGCCCCTCAAGGGGCAGGCTGTCTCATGATGCTTGTCGCGCGTTTCAGGAAAGCAGTGCATGTGCCTGGTGGATCTGGATCGAGCCAGAGCTGCAGAAGAGCGTGGCTACACCGTGCGAGTGATCTCCATGGAGCCGGAGAGCTGCTCTCCCAAGAACAACTTGATCGTGGGCATCCCCGTCGAGAAGGGGGCAGACATCTGAGACTCGGCCCGTCTCCGCCATGAAACTGCACGTGCTCCTGGTTCTTGGCACGACTGGGAGCCAGCATCTGCCTGGAGCATGCTGTGCGCAGGAAGCCAAGTGGCAGGAACACTGGCAGAAGGGCCGTCCGCACGGCGCTGCAAACGCTCGCGTGGCGGGTGACTACAGGAGACGGTCTTCGTGGCGATCGGCCGCGATGTGCCCAGCCGCAGACTCTCCTCACTCTGGAGGCTGCGTCCCTGGAGTAGTAACTCCCTGTCAGTTTACAGCTCTGCTGCCCTTGCCAGTGTGAGGTCCAGTTCCTGACGCTTTTCCAGCCATTTCAATATTCCAGAGGAGACCAAAACTAGATTCTGTGGGGTTTGTTTTTTTTTACTAATTTTACTTTTCTATGATTTTTTTTTTAATCCAGTCAGGTAATTATAGTGCGGTTAAATTTATAAACCAGGGTGAGTTGGATTTGTATATCATTTTGTATACTCTTTAATATATTTCCTGTAAATTATCAAATAAGGTGATCACATGTCTCTTGTGTGACATGTGGAAGTGAATCATGTAGGGAAAAAGCAATTAAAGAATTTTTTAAGTTCTTTACCTCATGGTGTAACTTGTTCACGGGCTTTGTTCACATCTCAGTCCTGTTTTTTACTTATTTTTTGGTAAAACGGACTGAGCGTAACTTGAAGACAGGAGGAGTATGGACTGTGGAAGTATAAAAGAGCAGCCTTCCCTGCCCAAGTTCTCATTCTGTCAGCCAGCTTGTAAGGAGGCAGCATCTCTCTTCCTTGCACGCTGCTAACCGCCTCACTGTCCTCTTGTGTCATTCCACTTGAGAGATTTCTTGTTGGTGTGTACAAATAATGTATGACAAGGGCCGCGAGGAAAAACACTTTAATTTGTCGTAAATAACTCCTTCGTTGTTGTGAGTTAAAATATAGAAATAACTTGTGAAGGGGTGGGGATTTGAAGTCTTATTTTCTGGGATAAAACTTAAGAAAAGAATTAACCAGGAGCCCTGACTATTTTTGACCTTCAACCTGCAGACACAAAATGCTGTCTGATCCTGGATAGTCTCTGTTTTTTAACTGAGGTATAATTTACAGGAGCCAACATAATGTATTATTGTTAAGCTTCCGATGTTTTGACACCCGTGCACCACATCACTGGCGATCAGGTGGAGATCAGATCCAGAGTATTTCCGTACCCGAGGAAGTGCCTTCACCTCCCTTTCAACTCATTTTGCCCCTGCCCACTCTGATTTCTATTATGCATCATTTATTCTGCCTGTTTTTATCTTTTGCATAAATGAAATAATTGAGTGTGTAGTCTTTTGTGTCTGACCTTTCCTGCTCAGCATAGCACTTTTGACTTCTATTATTCATCATTTATTCTACCTGTTTTTATCTTTTCCATAAATGAAATAATTTAGTGTGTAGTCTTTTGTGTCTGACCTTTCCTGCTCAGCGTAGCACTTTTGACAAGTAGCCAGGATGGTGTATGGATCAATAGTTTCTTCCTATTTGGGCTTCGTTGTACAGTTGTGGATCATCGAGTAAAATGAATGCCAGTTGCCACCAGCTGTCCCCACGCCGTGGGAAGGTCCTAGTTTACCCCTCACCAGCTCTTGTCTCGCTGCCCTTCGCATTTAGCTGCTGTGGTGGATCTCTTTCCTCTGGTGACTGTGATAGTCACCATCATTTTCATGTCATTTGATTAATTTCAAAATTAATTTCAAAAAGGAGGAGGAAGATATTCACGCTTGAGTATTAAAGTTGTTTAAAGTGTCAGTTTACAAATTTTTATATATATCTTGGATATGACTCCTTTGAGCTATATTGGGGCATGGAAAAGCTATGACACATTTTTGCTTGAAAAACAGAAAAATGTTCCAACAACCCTATATGTATACCAGGGTCCTACCTAGTTGCTTACCTTTTTCTTTTTTTTACTTTACAGTGCTGCAAAACCATGCACATTCACTGGAAGCCATCCTTTTAGTATTGAGTGTAATGGTCTTTGCCTGAGCGACACAGGCAGTGTGAGCCTCGTGCAGTGCAGGCGGATGGCCACAGCTCCCCCCAGCCCCAGATGTGGGGAACGACCGATCCTCCAGGCTGTGTGTATTCCCAGCACTTACGTAGAGCTTGCTTGTGTTTCTGCAGCCCTTGTTGTCTACAGAACACCCACCTGTCTCCTGCTTCTGCTGAAAAGAGGAGGAAGATACTCACTCTTGAAACTCAGTCCAGTTAGAGACTAGTGAATGTGTTGAGTGCTTTCAGGCTGGCCAGGCAGAGCCGTGACGTGTTTGCTAGGGCAGGCGTGTCACGCGCATATGCAGCGCCTCATATTTTCAGCCCACTGTGGGTTGTGACAGCCCTGTTTTGAGTTGAGCAGCACCTCTATGTGGGGAATTTTTCCCCTAGAGTGTGTCTGACTTGTTTTCATGATGACGATTTTAATTTTCAAGGCACCTCTTTATCATATTCTATGGTTACTACTTTGTGTGTATACTCTTAATAAATCTTTACCAACCCTGAGGTTTTTGAAGGTTCTTCGGTGACTTCTTCTAGGAAGTTTTATGTTCCTAGTTTTTTACGTCTAGGTCTGGATCCATCCCAAGTCAGTATTCTCTTACAGGGACAACGAGGCTTTGAGGATTGGACAGCTGCTTCAGCGCCATTTGTTTGAAAGTCTCTCCTCTCCCCATTGGAATTACTTGGCACCTCGGCTGAAAGTCAGTTGATGCATATGAACTATTTGTCTCTGAATCTTCTACTCTGATCCATTAATCTGCTTGTTCGAGAGGAAGTCTTGAAATTATGAAAAATTTCTTTTTCCAGATTGTTTTGTCTATTCTTGACTGATTGTATTTCTATGTCAATTTTACATTGAACTTTTTAATGGAAAAAAGAAAACCCTGCTTTGTTATTGCCTGGAATCTTTAGCTCATGTTAAGGAAAATGAACATTCTTAACAATATTGAGTATTACTATCCATGAACGCAAGATCCTTTCCATGTATTTTGATCTTTAATTACTCCTAGCATATTTTGTCGTTTTCAGTGTAGATGTTTTGTTCCATTTATTAATATTCGATAGATCTGTTGTTACCTCGAGCTTTGGGCCAGCTGTTCCACTACTGACAGTAGCCTCCTCTTTACCCTCCCATGAGCTTACTCGCATTCATCCTTCTGTTCTTAGACTTGACGTTCTGAGGGAAGCCTTTCTAACTTCTCTGCAGTTGGGTACCTGTCACAGGATGCTCACCACCCAGGAGTCTCCCCCATTCTCTCCAGGTAACTCACAGCAGCCCCTGACCTGCCACATACCTACCCTCTCACTATTCTTAACCCCGCCTCCGAGCCAGCCTCGCTCTCAGGCATGGGATTTTCTCGCCAGGATGACCGTGGCTAAGTCACCTGCCAGGGCATCAGTGACACCTTGTCAGCCCTTGCCAAGGCCCCACCTCAGTCAGGCCAAGGTAAGGGGGGCATCCTAATTCTTTAACAGTTTTAGTTTTCACATGTAAAACTTCAGTCTGGTCAGAAATTCATTCTGGCAGGTGGTTTGTTATACATATATATATAAGTATATATATATATATATATATGTATGTATGTATGTATATATAGCCTTGTAGTATTTCTTTTGACGTTATTTTTTACTTTTCACAAATACTGTATAAAAATCCAATTTTTCGCAGTTGATTTGCGATGCTTTAGCCTGCTAAGTATATTGGACTTTCTTCACTTCTCTTCTGTTTTATTGAATTCTTATGCTAGAATGGCATTCCCTAAATGATTGCAGCTTCCAACTGTGTTTTCACGTCTATCTGGTAAGCTGAGTTTCGTGATGTGAAGTTTGAAAATGTGACGTGTTTGTGGCCTGAGAGAACGTGAGCTGCCCAGAAGGTGCCTTGCTGTTCAGGTGGGCTGTGTCTTCCCAGACAGAGGGACGCTGGCTGCAGGTTCTCAGGAGAACTCACGACCCTAGAGAACACCAGGCTTCGCTGGTCTAAAGGAAGCAGAAGCCTCATACCAACTGTGTCCTGCCCCGAGGGGGCACTTGGGTGCTCACTCCTGCTGGTTTCCAGTTTTAGAGCCCCTAAGGAAGCCCAGTTTTGTGCATCATGTGTGTGTATTGACTTTTCAACCTAGTTTATCTGAACTAAATCACAGTATATAATCAAGCAAGAAAGCAAAATTCACCAGCAGAGTCTGCTTCATGGATGGCTGGTCCAGTTTCCCGAGAATGGCAGTAATGTGAGTCGGATGCGTGAGCAGCTCTCACTCCTCAGGGGAGGCTTTGTGCCCAGTTCATACGAAGTGACCTCTTGCAGTTCCCCTCTGGAGCCCCCCAATATGAGTGTGTTTACTAGGTGTCCCCTCGATGACAGCTCCGCGCGCCCGGTTGGATCCGCCATTGTACTTTCAGCCGGATCCAGTGTCGGGCGCGAGGTGGGGATGCAGTAAGTCTTGTACCACAGCTAATATGTGTCCGTGCCCTCACTGGCCCACATGCAGCAAAAGACATCGGGCTCTTTCCTTGCCCTCCGTTGGGGTTCATCTGGCCAGCGGGCGCATGGGCCTCCACGGCGTTTTGGCGTGTGGTTTGCTTATTTTGTTTAATGTTCTTAGACACACTTACCAAATCTAGAGCTAAAAAAGTCGAAGCAGTAGCCTGTCTGTGTCTTCTGAATAGTAGTTGTGAAGAACACCGGTGAATTACTTTCCCTGTCATGGAGAGGAAGGCCGCAGGGCTGTACTTTAGCTGAGGCGGGAAGGTGCTGCCACAGAAGGTTGGCTCGGTGTCTGTCTCCTGAGACTGCCCAGCATGAAACAGGGCGCCTGAGGAATACATGTGTGTCAAGTTTGGTCAAGGGAGGATTGGGCTTTCGGTGGTGAACTTGATGTGGTTTATCCACGTTGATTCTCATTGATGCACACCCAAAATTAATATGCTATCATGCATTCTTACTGCAATAAATAAGACAGAGAATAAAGTGCAAAACGCTGCGCCCATTGAGTGATACTGAACGCCCATTAAAAAAACAATGCCAAGTACGTAATCTGTTGCGGGGTGGGGAGAGGGCCACCCCTCTGCTGCCCCTGACCGCCTGACCTGGCTGGGTCCGGATCCTCGCTGGGCCCTGCTGTGGAAGGGGTGTGAGGGCAGCTCACCAGCCCTGGGCTGTGTTCCCTGAGGCTTTCTGCTTTGCAGCGCTAGCTAGCTGAGCCCTGAGAATGATGGCTGTAGCCCAGGATAATTCTGGATCGCAGCACATTATTGAGAACCATGTTGTCCCTTAAGGTCTTATTCCTTACATACTTAGCTAGAAATTCTTGGGTGGGCTAGGAAACCCAACATAGATATAGAAATTTACCATAGATAGTTAAAAACCACAATTTATGTACATAATATTATTGGAGGTGACTGTTACACACAACAAAATTGACTTCACTGCAAATTTTAAATATTTATTCAATTTGGAGCCTTCCTAAATCATTGCATAGCTTAGAATTTAAAGAGACTGACAATATATAAGTACATTTCC